GAGGGATATAAATCTTTAACCTTATTTTCTTATCTTTGTTAGGTTTTGGTATCATGATTTTCATATCGGCCTCTTAAAGTGTGATGGGAGGTGTTTCCTCTTTATTTTCTGAGTTTGTATAAAATTTGTATCAGTATCCCTAAATGTTTGATGAAGTTATGGGATTGAATTTATTTGAGTGATTTATTAATTCACCACTGAAACCATCTGGTCCTGAATGTTTCTTTGAGGGAAATTTTTTTGATAAACAATTTAAAAAGTATTGAGCTATTCTGATATTTTATTTTATTCTTATATCTGTTTTGGTAAATTCTATGTTTCAAGGACTTTGTCCATTTCATGTAAGCTATCAAATTTATTGTTATAAATTTTCCAAGTATTCCCTTATTAGTCTTTTAATGCCTGTAGGATCTGTAGTGATGTACCTTATTTCATTGGGGTGATACCCATTCTCATTTTGACATTGATAATTTCTTTTTTAAATTAATTTTGCTAGGAATTAATTTTATTAATCTTTTCAAAGAACTAAATTTTGGCTTTTATCTCTGTTGTTTGTAAGTCTTCTGTTCATTGATTTCTGTTATCTTAAAATATCCACCTTACTACTTAACTTTGGGTTTACTTTTTTTTTTTGTATCTTTCCTATTTTGGAAACTCACTTGGTTTTAAACCTCTTTTCTCAGGAGTATATAAAATTATTTCTCTCGGGGCGCCTGGGTGGCTCAGTTGGTTAAGCGACTGCCTTCGGCTCAGGTCATGATTCTGGAGTCCCGGAATCGAGTCCCACATCGGGCTTCCTGCTCAGCGGGGAGTCTGCTTCTCCCTCTGACCCTCTTCCCTCTCGTGCTTTCTATCTCTCATTCTCTCTCTCTCTCTCTCAAATAAATAAATAAAATCTTAAAAAAAATAAAAAATAAAAAATAAATTATTTCTCTCTAAGGACTGCTTTAGCTGCATCCCATAACTTTCAAAGTTGTATTTTCTCATTCAGGTCAAAGTATTTTCTAACTTCCATTGTGATTTCTTATTTGATCCAAAGTTTATTTAGAAATAGATTGTTTAATGTCCAAATGTTTGGGAATTTTCTAACCTTTTTTCCTTTTGATTCCTAATTCAATTATTTGTGTCCAGAGAATATATTTCATAAGATTTCAATTCTTTGAAATTTATTGAGACTTGTTTTATGGCACAGGATATGGCCTATCTCAGCAAATGTCCTAGGTACACTTGAAAAGAATGCATATCCTGTGGTAGTTAGGTATAGTGTTCTGATTAGCATTAGGTCAAGGCAGTGAGTAGTGTTGTTCAAATCGTCTAAAACTGTACTGATTTCTTATTTAATTTTTCTATCAACTACTGAGAAGGTGCTACCTTTAGCCTGCAATGTCATAAGATTTCTCTCCATCCTCCCACCCTAAATCAAGTCTTTCCTCTCTGGCAGCAAAGCTGCTGGACTGGAAGACTGCCATTCTTGCAGACTGAGCTGCATGGGGGTTGGGGGGAGAGTAGACCTGAGCTGTTCTTACCTGAATCTTTAGCAGGTTTTCAATGTGTTGGCCATCTCTGATAGATTTCTATTGCCCTAAAGTGGGTGTTTTTGACAATTTTGTCTAGTCTGTCTATCTGTCATCTACCTACATACCTACCTACCTACCTACCTATTAGTGGAGGAGAATTGCTGGCCTCTTCTTTAGAAACCGATTTTATGGTAATATTTTAATATGATGTCTTTAACCTTTATTAAAAATATTGAGAACATTTCTGCATCTTCTCTAAAACCCCTGTTGGTGGTTTTTTAAGTTGTTAATGTTGTTTGTCCAGAATAAGTGGGAAAAACTCCCTTCAGGATGTAGTATAGAAGGCCCCTATGCCCTTTATGACTTACTTGGTTCCTTCATAACATTCACCAGTTGAATCACAAGAAGTAAAACATTTGCTAGAAATGAATATTATAAATTAGAATTTTATTCTTGAAAACTCATTTCATACCATAAAATACCAAGACATCACAAATGTTCTTCAAAATCATACAAGTATTTGCTTTTACAAACATTATGTAGAATTTCATTCAAGAAATACTTATTGAGAGATTGCCATGTGCCAGAGACTGTGCCAGGCACCAGGAATAAAAACAAATGTACTCAGGAGGCACAGCTCCTGCCCTCCCCTCAGAGCTAACAGTCCAACAGGTGAGAGAGATGGTTATGCAGACAATTACAATCAAGTGTGAAATGGACAATGGCAGAGGAAGTCTGAGTTTTAGGATTGTGCCCAGTATTTGTGTTTGCTCCCACAATTTTTTTCCTGGTCTTTGGAATCCTTGAGGCTTTTGAAATAAAATATCATTAAAGCCTAGACTAAAGACATGTCTTCCATGGTAAGTTTCTGAATGGTAAATACTTGGGGAGGGACAGTTTCCTTGGGAAAGGTTTCTCCTATTCTAAATTTGTGAATGTACATTAGATCACTTGGGAAGCTTTAAAAAAATACCCTTGACTGGATCTGGTGAGGCCCAAGACCCAATTTTTTAAAGTACTCAATGACTTTAGCATGCAACCGTGGTTAAGAACTATCATAGCCTTTGTTTCCAGTTTCCTCAACATTTGACACCTGTAACAAAAGAAGCCTCCTTCAATGGTTTTTGTTAAATTTTCTGGGAAATTCTTCTTCACAATACTTAGGGCTTCCTTCTATTGCTCTGGTGTCTTGTAGAAAGTGAGCCCTTATCATCAACACTTGAAGATTCTAAAGAACACGGGACACTCATTCCTCTCTCTCTCTTACTCATCCCCAAGTGAGATGGAGAAATTCATCTGATTGGTTAGCATCTGACACCCACTGAGCCACATTCTGTATTGCAGATGTAGTTACTTTGCTCTACCCATATCCTTTGCTTCTATCCCATAGTGATAATAAAAACAGCTAAGTGGTACTTATTGAATGCTTACCATATGGCAGCTGCTGTCCTAAGCCTTTTACATGAATGAATTCATTACATCCTCATACCAACCTGATGATGTACATTCTATGGTTATACCACTTTAGATTTGAGGAAGCTAAAGCTTAAGGAGATTAAGTAACTTGTCTGAGGACACACTGTCATTGGACTGGGATTTCAATCCAGACCACTTGGCTCCAGAGCATATTCTCTTAACCTCCATGCTACTCCACTGCTAAGGGGCTAGCCTGGCCTTTGTTCCACAAGTGGTCAGCACAGTTGGAGGCCAGTGGTAAGTGCATATTTGCCGGCAGGCATTCTCCATTCTCCATTCTACTGGTAACTGGGTCTATAAGCCTCTCTGTGCAGCCTGCTGCACAGGTGCAACTCTACTCCCAAGTGGGTACCATGGTCCAGAATTGAGGAGGGGGGTAAGGGTTCCCTTGAATCAACATATACTCAGACTTTAAACTGTCTAGGAGTTCTGCACTTAAGGCGTTGGAATCTCTAACAATTTTGTGCTTAAGTTTCTCATCCCAAAGAGATCCTTAACTCACACTATACACTTCTTCCTTGGATTTTACTTTGCCTGTTCTTAAGCATGTTGGGAAGAGGCAATGCCTTTGTTAAGTGGCATAAGGATTCACTATATATGATTATGCATCCATGAAAAAAGTTTTCTACCTTACAAATCAGTTCATTGTGATTGTATATTGCTATTGATTATACTAGTCTAGTCCCAACCAACTACATGGCTTCAGTTGCTATGATCACATGGCTTTAAACATGAGTTTTGTTTATCACCCAAGGTGTTTTATTTTTAAGAGCAAAGGTTTTTAAAGTTCAGATGTTTTAACTAAAGCCATTATAAGTAGAAGGTTCCTAGTAACAGAAAAAAAGTTTTCCTCTCCTGGTAAACCTCAATGAACTAACGAGAATTCTGTAATACCTTGTATTTTCCTTTTTGTCTAAATACAAATCTTAGTTTTAGAAGACTGCATAAAGATCAATACTGTTTTAGAAAATTAAGTTTCATGATAGGTTCTTTATTAAAAGCCACTTTAAACACTTTTTCAAAGTAGGTATTGATTTTAACTTTAGTTTATTGCTATATAGCAGGGATGGGCAAACTACAGCTCGTGGGCCAAATCTGGCTGCTGCTAGTTTTTGTGAAGTTTTATTGGAACATAGTCACGTTCCTTCTACGTGTTATCCATTGCCACTTTCACCTTATAATGGCAGAATTGAGTAATTGCAACAGAAACTGGCCAGAAAAACCTAAAATAGTTACTATCTGGCTATTTACAGAATAAGTCAGTGGTTGCCTGCTATTGTATAGCAATCCCCCCACCCCGCCCCCATCTCCTATCCCATCATGCCTAATTTGCTGCTTCTCATTTTGTCTTGGGTTCCTGATTTTTTATTTTACAAGTGAATAACTATTACCTCATTCAGGTTAGCATTTTTTTTATTTATTTTTTTTAAGATTTTTTTTTAAGATTTTATTTATTTATTTGACAGAGAGAGAATGAGAGAGAGAGAGCACGAGAGGGAAGAGGGTCAGAGGGAGAAGCAGATTCCCTGCTGAGCAGGGAGCCCGATGTGGGACTCGATCCCGGAACTCCAGGATCATGACCTGAGCCGAAGGCAGTTGCTTAACCAACTGAGCCACCCAGGCGCCCCAGCATTTTTATTTTTTTTAAAGATTTTATTTATTTATTTGACAGAGAAAGAGAGCGAGCAAGAGAGACAAGCAGAGGGAGCGGGAGCAGGAGAAGCAGACTCCCTCCTGAGCAAGGAGCCCAATGTGGGACTCGATCCCAGGACCCTGGGATCAGGATCTGAGCCAAAGGCAGATGCTTAACTGACTGAGCCACCCAGGCATCCCCAGGTTAGCATTTTTAGAGGAACAAAACAAAACACAACTGCCTCCTTACTTGTGCAGTACTTTTCTGTGTGTCAGTGATTCTCTGGTGAAAATAATTACCCTGATCACAGTTTTCCTAATACAAGGTAAACCTTTTCAAGTTTATATGATCAAGTATTTTTTCAGCTCAGAAAATCTTTTATTATAACTTTATTTTTATTTGTTTTGGTTCCTATTGCTTTAGGATTGGTGATCCAGAGCTAACCTCTTTGTCATTTTCATCTCTTTATCCTTCCCAAACCATCTTGGATGCCAATAAATTTGTTAGCAACATCACCTCTTTTATTCTCTGCTTTGATATTTCTGTTCTTTTAACTGCATCCAAATGTGTTTCACTGGATTTTTTAATCTTTTTGTATTTTTTTTTTTCATCTTAGCCAGCTTTCTTTTCTTTTCAGCCTGCATCTGTCTGTTGGCGTCTGCTCTTCTTATTCTCTGCTGCAGTTTCCTAAGAGGCCATTTCTTTTTGCTTCCTATTAAAATCACCAAGCAGATAGCTTCTGAAGCTTCTCCTGTTTCCTCGACTTGTGAGATTCAAGGAGAAAATATTGAGAAGGATATTTTCTAAGATAGGCTTTTATTCTGTTTTCAGAGTAACATGCATGTGGGGCCCATGTAGATTTGTTGTTGAGACTTTTTTGTTTTTTTCATATTTACCAATCTTTAAATGAGGAGGGATCATGATGTTTGTTAAGACACAGGACGGACAGATTGCTCCCCAATAGCACCCTCTCTGTGGGTGTTGCATGAATACTCTTCTTAGATCTAAAGCTCAATGGTAAGTTGATGGCCATTGTATGGATATACCACAGTTTATTTTTCTATTCCAATGTCAGTGGATGTTTGGGTTTTTAGTTTAGGGGCTATCATGAAAAGTACTGCTATGAACATTCTTGTCATGCCTATTGGTGCACACACTCATGTATTTCTACTGCATATATATCTAGGAGATGAAATGCCAGGTCATGGGGTATGCATGCTTTCAAACTTGGCAGATAAGGTCAATGTACTATGAATATGAAGCCAAAACTACGTAAGAAATATTCAATAACATTTCTTTTTGTTTGATTCAGCAAGCCAGAATATCCTCCTAGTTAACAAAATGTTGAAATGAGACATGAGAAAATTTTCTCTTGAAGTAGAGCATCTGGGAAACACCGAAGAGAATAAACTCCTTCGTTTATTATTACTGAAAATAATTTTAAATTATTGGAAGTTTATGGAGAAGAAAGATCTTTCCTCATGAATTACACATTGACAAGTCCATAAGAGTTGCACATCTTGGGAGAAGCATAGATTATTGGAATTCCATATGATGATTTGTACAGCTTCTTTTTAAAAAAGATAACCTGTAAAAACACACACACACACACACACACAAAACCACAAATGTTTGATTATGTCATCTTTTAAGAAACAATCATTATCAGACCAATACATACAAAAAATTACTGCGATACAATTACAAAGAGCCTTGGTTCAGAAGCCAGACATTGCCAGACGTATCCCAGCTCTGCCACTTATGAGCCCCATGATCCGAATGTTTCTTAACTCACAGGGTCTCAGTTTCCAAATTACAGGACTTACAAACCTTACATTAACTGAATTATAACTGAAAACTTACTATGTGTACACTGTAAAAAAATTCAAACTACAAAAGGATATAAACATGAGGAAAGTATATCTATTTCCCCCCAGTCCCCAGGTCTACTGACAAATACTTAACCAATTTCTTGTTGATCTTTCCAGAAATATTTAATGTGTATTGTAGGCCTCATGAATGCACATATGTTTGTATATATACAAACATATTTCTAGCTTTTAATCAAGGGATATGACACATATGAGAAAATAACAGAAAACCAATGTGCAGCTTAGTGAATTCATGTTAAATATTCATCTGTGTAAATACCACCCAGGTCAAGAAGTCCTATAAGCTCCCACTTACTCCTTCCCAATCACAACCATCTCTATTCTCTAAAAGTTATCACTATTCTGATTTTTATTTGATTTTTTCTGTATTCACTTTCTTGATTTTCTTCATATCTTTACCTCCTAAATATGTATTCCTAAATGCCATAGTTTAGTGCTGATTTTAAACTTTATATAAACAGATTCATACTGTAAGACTTCTGTTTTGGATTTGATACTTACAACATAGGTGAATCTTACAAATATAGTATTCAGTTGTCTTCATTTATTTTAACTGCTACATAGTAGGAATTGACAAACTTCTTCTGAAAGGGCCTGATAGTAAGTATTTTAGACTTTGTGGGCCAATAAACAAAATTGAGGATATTATGTAGGTCCTCAATAAGAGAAAACAAACTTTCACAAAATTTTTGATAAAATTCAAAAGATAGTAATAATAACTGACTACAGGTTTGTTTTTAATATAAGTCTACTAATGAGAAAAATGGAAGTCTTATTTAGGGGATAACATTTTGCTCAATTGAGGTTCAGATCATCAAAATTGATTACATATCACCAATAGCCGATAAACATTTACAGTGAGACCCCCCCCAACACACACCCCCATTTCAGCTTTGAACATATCTGTCAAACAGATATGTGCTGCCAACACTGATTATCAATCCATGAGCATATGCTTTTCATTGTGCATATTTACTGCTTGGGAGGCATTTACAGAACTCCATTAGATTCTTCTCTTGATATTTCCCTCTTAGCATGTCATTACAACGTATATTAATTGCTTCCAGTTGAAGGTTAAGTGGACATTCCTCCATCGCACAGTTAAAGAGACTTTGATATAGGAAGATTTCCTTTGCACTTGTTTCAAGGTCCAAAAAATGCTCCTGGAGGTGTAAACTCAGAAAACATATTCACTGCAACTATGTGTGGGAATTAAAATCTTGCTTCTTGTTCTAACTTGTGACAGCACAGGAAGTGGATAAAGCAGCTTGCCATTACTTGTGATTCAACGTTAGTTGCCACTGAAATGATTTTACCATAGTGTAAATTCTGCCATATAAGCTCTGTTTTGCCTTGTAATTTTAGGTTGGATTCATTAAAAAATATTATCAAGTCTACAGCAAAAGCTAATTTCCAAAGCCATTCAGTATCCCATAATGGTGGATAAGGGTAGTTTACTTATTTAGAAAAATCTCAATCTTAATCTGACTCAAAAACTCACACTGAAAGGTTATCAGTGCTAAGCCATCAAGTATCAGTGAGGTAGGCAAGTCAGAACATACAGCTGTTTCTGACACAAAAAAAATCATGGAACAATAAATTAACAATGGTTAAATCCATGAGACTGAGTGAAGATCACCATTGAAACAGCTGGTTAAATAACACATGATAGATTAAAACATGTTTTCACTAGTAAAAGGTTTATCCACTAAAAACCTACTGCTGACATTCTGTGGGGAAATTTGGCCATACATTCAGGACTCCTCTAGATTGTAATCCATCATGCCAGTCCATACAGATTTTAAAAGCCTTGCTCGTTTGTTTCCCCTAGTAAATAAAGACCCTCTGCCCTTGGCAAGCCTGAGCCCCAGCTTGTACCCAAACTTGGCCAATGCCCGAAGGCAAGAAAATGGCCAGTGATCTCAGATCACTTAGGAAGGACTTTCCTCTCTGTTATAGTTCATCTAGTCCCTTCGATTTCCATAGCTCTCCGATGTCTTTAAAAATAATGATGTTTACAACATATCCATTATTTAAATGTTGCAGCTACCTACTATATCCTACCTAAAATCAGAAGACATGTCTATTTTGTTTTATTAAATTCTTTTTCCCCCAACTTACGCATGTTTTTCTTCAAAATTTTATGTTTTTTCTTTCCTTTTGCTTTTTTGCATCTAATTTACTGTCCTTTTTATAATTTCTTGAAAAGGATGCTTAGTCTTATTTTCATCTTTTCAAATGAATGCCTTTAAGACTATAAATTTCTAAGCATCACATTAACAGTGTTCCACAAGTTTGATACATACATAGCATTTTTGTCATTTTTCAGTTCAAAGTATTTTCTAGTTCTATTATGACACTTTCTTTGATGAACAGATTGTTTATATCTGTATTTCTTAATTTTCAAACATATTAGAATTATCTTGTCATTGATTTCTAGTTTCCTTGCATTTTTATCAAAAAACACACTTTGCAGGATTTCAACTGTTTGAAACGGTTGACACTTGCTTTATGACCATATATAGTCAGTTTTTGTACATGTTTGTTGTGTGTATTCTTAAATAATATGCAATCTGTAGTTGTTAGGTATAATATTCTATAAATGTGCTTTAGGTCAAATTTCTTAATTATGTATTTCAAATCTTCCATTTCTTTTTTTTCCCTCAGTTCCTGATAGAGATTAAAATTTCCTAGCATTATTCTGGATTTGTTTCTCTGTGCAGTTCTATTAAGTTTGCTTTACAAAGGTTGAGGCCATGTTACTAGATACATTCCTATTTGTGACTCATACCTTCCCAATGAATTAAAACCTTTATCTTTATGAAGTATCCTTCATTTTGTCTAGTAGGACTTTCTGCCTTAAAGTCTTCTTTGTCTAATATTAATATTGTTATATCTGCTTTCCTGTGGGTAATTTTTTTTATGGTATATATTTTTTTATCCTTTAACTTGTAAGCATTCTGTATATTTAGATTTTGTATGTGCCTCTTACAGTTGTTTTTTTTTTTAAAGATTTTATTTATTTATTTGAGAGAGAGAGAGAGAGAAACAGCATGAGAGGGGAGAGGGTCAGAGGGAGAAGCAGGCTCCCCGCTGAGCTGGGAGACCGATGTGGGACTCGATCCCGGGACTCCAGGATCATGACCTGAGCTGAAGGCAGTCACTTAACCAACTGAGCCACCCAGGTGCCCTGTATGTGCCTCTTACAAACAGCACTTATTTTTATTCAGTCTGACAAATTCTGACTTTGGGCATTTAGCTATTTACATTTAATATAAATTAATGATGAATCAATGATAAACACCTACCATTTTATTCAGTGCTTTCTATTGGTTTTGTTTCCTTTTTCTCTCCTTTCTATCTTCCAGTTATATTGAGGGGGGTTTTTTTATTCCATTTTCTTCTATTAGTTTAGATGTCCTACATCTTTCTACTATGCTTTAGGAGTTACCTTAGAGGTTATAAACTGTTGCCTTGAGTCATCAAAGATAATGTTAAATAACACTCTATCCCTCTCCTAGATAATGCAAATGGCTCAGAACAATTTAGCCCACACACGGATTTCGGACTCCCACACTACTTATGCTGTGTAACTGTAATGTCACTGCTCTTGCTTTTCCTTATTGTTTTTTTTTTTATGCAGTCAGTAAATATCCACATATTCTTTATCTCCAAATTTCCAACTGGGATAATTTTCCTTCTATTTGAAAAACACCCTTTAGTAATTTCTTTTTTTTTTATTAAAGATTTTATTTATTTATTTGAGGGAGAGAATGAGATGGAGAGAGAGCATGAGAGGGGGGAGGGTCAGAGGGAGAAGCAGACTGCTACTGAGCAGGGAGCCCGATGCAGGACTCGATCCCAGGACTCCAGGATCATGACCTGAGCCGAAGGCAGTCGCTTAACCAACTGAGCCACCCAGGCGCCCTCTTTAGTAATTTCTTGTAGTGAAGATCTCCTAGTGACAAATTTTGTTTCACTTATCTGAAAATGTCTTTCATTGTCATTCTTGACGGATATATTTGCATGTTATAGAATCCTTTGTTATACTATTTCAGCATTTTGAAGCTATCATTCCTTTATTTTCTGGCTTTATTTCTGATGAGAAGTCAACTTCAGTTTAATTATTGCTCTTCTGAAGGTAATTCACATCCTTTTCCTCTGAAAACTCTAAAGATTCATTTTCAGCAGTCATATTAAAGTGTATGTAGGTAGAGATTTTTAATATTTTTTTTGCCTGGGGTTAAGAAGGCTTATTAAATATTGAGTCTTTCATTGGTTTTTAAAAATTCACAATGCATAGTGTTTCCCAACATATTTCTTCTCTTAGTAGTCAGATTTCTTGAATCAGTGGTCCATTTCTATCTTTTTGTCTCTTCCTAGTGATTAAGTTATCCTATATCTATCCTTGCATCTCCTCTGTAGTTTCCACCTTTTTGTTCCTTTATTCTTTCTAGGTAAATTCTTCTGACCTATCTTCTAATTTATTAGTTTTCTCCATAGCTGTATTTATCCTGCTCTTAAATCCATTCGTTGAGTTTCTCATGTTGATTACTGCTGATTACTGAAATCTGCTGTATCATTTGTATCATTTCCAGTTCTCTTGAAAATTTCAGTGTTGACTTTTATCTCTTTAAACATAAGTGTCTTAGCTCAGGCTGCTTTAACAAAATACCTTAACTGGGTAGCTTAAACAACAGAAACTCATTTTTTCACAGTTCTGGATGCTAGGAGTCTGAGATCAGGCTGTCAGCACTCTCTTCCTGGTTTGTAGATGGCTGCCTTCTTGCCAGGTCCTCACATGGCAGGGAAAAAGAACAAGCTCTCTGGTGTCTCTTCTTATAAGGGCACCATTCCCATCATGGGGGACCCGCCCTCATGATCTCATCTAAGCCAATTATCTCCCATAGCCCTCATCTCCAAATACCATCATATTGGAGATTAGGGTTTTAACATCTGAATTTTGGAGGGACACAAGTCTGTAGTACTCCACCCCAGGCCCCCCCATCCATGTCCTTCTCATATGCAAAATACAATCATTCCATCCCAATAGCGCCCAAAGTTTTAACTCATTAGAGCATCAACTAAGTCTCATCTAAATATCCTCTAAATCAGGTATGGGTGAGAGTCAGGGTATGATTCATCCTGAGGCAAATTCCTCTCCAGCTGTGAACCAAATGAGTTAGGTACTTTTTTTTTTTAAGATTTATTTTTATTTCAGAGAGAGAGAGAATCCCAAGCAGACTCCATGCTGAACAGAGCCTGGCATGGGGCTTGATCTCATGACCCTGAGATCATGACGTGAGCCGAAATCAAGAGTTGGACATTTAACCAACTGAGCCACCCAAGGCGCCCCTCATCCCAACTAGGGGTTGGAGTCCCAACCCAAATGGAGGAGGCTTACCAGGGCCTCCAGCTTGACTCTAGTTTTTGTCCCCCTACTTTTACAAAGCTGGTGAAAGCATCACTCAGCTTTTCAGCCCCATTTTCTAGAATGTGCATATTCCCTTGGCGGGGAGGGGGGGAAGTGACTGCAAATGCCAGCATCAACTCTCTGAATTTGTCTTCTCTTAAATATTTGCCCAAAATTCCTCACTGTTAGCTCTCCATTATCTTCAAGCTGATTAAAAATATTTTAAAATCAGTGGTCCATGCCTACATCCTTAAGCGTTAGTAAATAATCTCACATCTGTCCTTCCATCCTTCCCACAGAGAAGGAAGAGAGAGTACATACATGGGGGCAACTAAGCATCATGTTCCAAACATTAATAAAGCAGTAGAGAGATACTTTATACTCAGAAGTAAATGCAGACATACTCAATTTAAACTATGTAAATTTTTTATCTTATTAAATTTTCATGTAAGAAAAATGACTATCCAAGTATTGAAGGTGATTTTTATCACAATAGTAAGATAGGCAAAATGCTATGGTCCTTGAATTTATATTATATAGATGTATGGATAACATTACCTGTAAATACATGGTTTATCTTTTCAGGGATTTCAGAGATTATTTCATTATTAATTAAAAACAAAAGATTTTCTGCTGTAATTTACAGCCATAGCTTGGTATTTAAGAGTCCTTCGTCAGTTTTCTCTCTTCTTCCTTTCTTTCTTTTTCTAGAGATTTTATTTATTTGAGAGAGTGAGTGAGAGAGCACAAGAGCAGGGTGAGGGACAGAGGGAGAAGCAGACTCCCCACTGAGCAGGGAGCCTGACACAGGGCTTGATCCTGGGACTCTGGGATCATGACCTGAGCCAAAGGCAGACGCTTAACCAATTGAGCACCCAGGCGCCCCCTCTGCTTTCTTTCTTAACTGACCCTTCATCTCAATATTCCTTCCATGATCCTCTTTGATTGAAACTTAAGGTCCCACTAGATTCCCTTGCAGAGGGTCTGCTGGTCACATAAGTGCAGGCAAACCTCTAGTGAAGGGACATTATTGTATAAAATGATACCGTTAGTGGCAGCGCTGGCTAACACTCAAATCTTCTGAATGCCAGGCTCAAATTTTCCCGGAAGCCTTGTGTCTTCCCCATCCTGACAGCATACTCTCACAGCAAAATAGTAGATGATGTGCTTGACCAGAAAAGGGTTGAGAGAGAAGGTATATGCAAAGGGTTCAGAGAATTTCTTCTTTCTTTCTTCTGAGAATTCTCATAAGAATTTTACTTTCAATTGACTCTCTAGCTCTGTTTTCCTAGCAATTCGATAAGGTAGTTTGTATCAACTATGTTACTAAGCAACACTACTTGCCCTCCAAGTGGTAACTAGCATTTGATTGGAAGGAATTACAAATGAACTAGTACTACCTAATAGGAAACCATAGGTTTGAGTTTTCCTGAGTGTGCTGACTTTTGTAACCGAGTGAATCCATTAAGGGGACCCTGGACACTGTGTCTATGGAATCATTACAAGACATCCTGGCCCCTGAGGCACAGAAACCAGGGCAGGTCTGCACCTACCCAATGTCAATCTCTCTTCCTTGCGTCTGAGCTTTGTAACCAGGGGACTAAATAGCTATGTGTTCATCTGTGTGGACACGACAAGAGCTTCCATATAAAGAGAAGCACCTGCAGCTGCCCTGCTCGAAGCTGGGGTTCCTGTCTTCTATCTTGCTGAGTAAACAGATACTCAGCTCCTATCGAAACTTGTCTGTGTTAGTCTTGTGAGTAGGAATGTTTAGTTGAGCCTAAGACCAACTCCTGGTGGGCCCTGCAGGAGGCGTCTGGGCTAGAACTGGACAGGCTGTGCCTCATGCTGTGCTTACAACCAACGTGATGAGACAGGGATTCCTTCTCTACTCCCTAAGAACAAGTTACTTTTTATAACATGGACACATTTTACAGCTTTATTTCTGATCAAATACCATCATGTGCTTTAAGGACCCATAAAAAATTTCCCAGAATCCTATTATCTGGACACAGGAGTCCAACTGCTATAATGTCAACTCTGTTCTCTAAGAATTTCAACAGTAGGTTCCATCACCTAGATGAAATGTGCCAATTTGAATGGGAGTGTTTCACTTTCTTAAACACATTAGGGTTGTTGGAGTAGAGCAGAGAGCTGAATGATGCTGCCTCTCCTCCCCTCTGCTTCCTTTCAGATAAAAAGTCAAACTCACCTTAGCTGCAATTCTTATTTTTGAGTTTTTTTCTCAGGTGACTTGTCAGTGTCCGAGACCTCCTCATCTGGCTGTTGCGCCACAAAATTCTTATTGACCATGTCTTCTGTGTGGCTGTGGATGATCTGATGGGCTGCAAGGATATGCTTCCGCTGGGCGTTTCTCACTGTGCCAAAGCGACAAGAAATTTTACTCTGAAAGTCTAAACAAAATCATTCCCAAATATTTTCAAGAAAGCAGTGACAGAAATGATAATTTGGTAAACCACATATTCCCCTGCTTCAAGCTGATGAGCGTAAATAGCAATGAGCTGCTCTCTGTTGTAGAAGTATGCCTTCTAGAGGGAACCAGACCTAAGGTTGATCATTGCTGCTCTCCCTGTCCCCACTCTCCGGTTCAGTCCGGTCAGGCTCCTCCCCACGCAGCTGGCCTCTATTGCTGTCCTCCCCAGCTGCCCTCTGCTGGAGTGTCTGCACAGCCCAACTCAGGGCCCAGCTCCACCAGGAAGCCTCCTCTGACCGGGCCGACCCACATCCACCATTGCCACACCTGAGTTCCCACAAACCCACGCAGCACTGAAGCACTCAGTGTGAGTTTCGTTTTGTTTTTTTAACTAGGTTGTAATGACTTAAAGGTAGAGACCTTGTCTCCTACTTCTCTTTGAGCTTTTGTTCCTAATATGGAGCATACTTGTTGACTGATGATGAGTTTCTCAGCTCATGGCTTTAGAAGGTGGTCTTTGCTCCATATTCTAAGGATATTTATTATCAAAGATTAGTACATTAAGCATCCCATCTCCCTTGGAAGGGACTAATCATGATGATGATGATAACGTTAGCACATAGCATTTGTCCTTACTTTGTGCCAGGCACTGTTTTAAGCAGTTGGTGTATATCCATTTAAACCACCCCACAACCCTAAAAGAGACGATGAATAATATCCCCATTTTCAGATAAGGAAACACAGAGAGATTAAGTAATTTGCCCCAAATCACACAGCCGGTAAAGGACAGTAAGAAGTACTATGGGTTCTGTGCTGTTCATGTATCAGCGAGTTTACAGAGGATAAATCACAGTTTATAGAGGATAAATCAACTTCCACTTCACAGTAGTATGGTTGAAAGAATGGGGACTTTGGAGCCACACAGACCATGGTTCACATCTGTAAGTTGTATAAACTCTCTAAGCACTAATTTCCATAATTGAAAATGAGAATACAGCTCCAGCTATTTTAAGAAATTGAGATAGGTACTTTTTAAATGCTTAGTATCGTGTCTGGAACTTAGCATGCACTTAAAATTTGGTAGTTACTGTTACTTTACATCTATATACAGGTCTCTTCAAGGTCTTCAATCATGATATACCTCAAAATAGTCTGTATATATTGCCTTAATTTGGGGTAAAGAGTCTATATAATACATATGGTTCTTTTAAGAAGCAAAAGGTCCTAGTGTGCGCTCCCTGTCCAGATGGCTTTCTTCATTTGGTGTAATAGAAAGAGGAGAGGCTGAGGACTTGCCCAGCTTCCCCACAGACAAGTCCCACTGGATTCCTTCAGCTCAAGTGCCTCCTCCAGCTCCTTTCCCTCAGAGCCCAGAGAAGCTAGGGGAAGGGATCACAAACTAGTAACTACTAAACACTAGTTCCCTGCCTCCTTCAATCCCCTCAGTTAGAATTGACCTAAAGAAGACTGACCAAATAAAAAGGATTTGCATATTTTCTTAAAGATTCAGAAAACATGGGCGCCTGGGTGGCTCAGTTGGTTAAGCGACTGCCTTCGGCTCAGGTCATGATCCTGGAGTCCCGGGATCGAGTCCCGCATCGGGCTCCCTGCTCAGCAGGGAGCCTGCTTCTCCCTCTGACCCACTTCCCTTTCTTGCTCTCTATCTCTCATTCTCTCTCTCTCAAATAAATAAATAAAATCTTTAAAAAAAAAAAAGATTCAGAAAACACAAAATCCCTTTTATAAAAAGGTGACATAGAAACATTGATTATTTTATCTGAAAATTAAATGTTATTGATATAAGGACTATCATACACCACTGATGGGAGTACGAATTAGAACAATCTTTTTGTGGGAGCTATTTGGTAGTATCTAGCAAAAGTAAAATGCACATACTCTATTTCTAGCACCGTACTGCTAGCAATTTACTGTCAGTAGCATGAACAGGATAGGCATAGAATATACTGCCTGCAGCACTGCTAGTTATAGGAAAACACACTGAAACAAACTAAATGCTTATCACTAAGAGGTACGGGCTTAGAAATTACAGTACAATCATGTAATGGGAAAATAAGGTATTTCTTTGTTCTCTTCAAATGCATTAGAACTCTACCATTCCTCTATCCCTATTAGGTGATCGGAAATGTTATACTTCTCTTAAACCTGTCCAGAATTCCCTGAACAACATGGAAACCTTGTAAAAAATAACCGAGCTGTTCTTTCACTTAAATTTTTTAATTTAAATTCAATTTAATTAACATATAGTGTATTATTAGTTTCAGCGGTAGAGTTCAGTGATTCATCAGTTGCATATAACACCAGTGCTCATTATATCCCGTGCCCTCCTTAATGCCCATCACCCAGTTACCCCATCCCCCACACCCCTCCCCTACAGCAACCCTGTTTGTTTCTTAGAGTTAAGAGTCTCTTATGGTTTGTCTCCCTCTCTGATTTTGTCTTACTTTATTTTTCCCTCCCTTCCCCTATGATCCTCTATTTTGTTTAAGTTCCACACAAGTGAGATCATATGATAATTGTCTGATTTATTTCACTTAGCATAATACCCTCTAGTTCCATCCACGTCGTTGCAAATGGCAAGATTTCATTCTTTCTGATGGCTGAGTAACATTCCATTGTGTATATGTACAACATCTTAATCCATTCATCTGTCGATGGACATCTGTGCTCTTTCCATATTTTTTTGACTGTAAACATTTGAGGCTTACAAAAGATTTTAATTTTTTTATTCTTTTTTAAAATTCCAGTACAATTAAAATACAGTGTTATATTAGTTTCAGGTGTATAATATAGTGATTCAACAATTCTATACATTTCTCAATGTTCATCATGTTAAGTGAACTCTTAGTTCTCTTCACCTATTTCACCTATTTGCCCACCAATCTCCCCACTGGTAACCATCAGTTTGTTCTCTATACTTAAGATTCTTTTTACTTGTCTCTTTTTTTCTTTGTTGATTTAATCTGTTTTTAAACTTAATATAGGAGTGAAATCATATAATTGTCTTTCTCTGACTCACTTATTTCACTTACCATTATACCCTCTGGATCCATCCATGTTGTTGCAAATGGCAATGTTTCATTCTTTTTTATTTTATGGCTGAGTAATATTCCATTGTGGATATATACCACATCTTTATCTATTCATCTATTGATGGACACTTGGGCTGCTTCCATAATTTGGCTATTGTTAAATAATGCTGCAATAAACACAGGGATGCATATATCTTTTCAAATTACTGTTCATATTCTTTAGGTAAATACCCAGTAGTGGAATTACTAGGTCATTTGGCAGTTCTAGTTTTCATTTTTTTGAAGAACCTCCATATTGTCTTTTACAGTGGCTGCACCAGTTTGCATTCCTCCCATAAGGGTATGAGGGTTCCTTTTTTTTTTTTTACACACATCCTTGCCAACACTTTTTTCTTGTGTTTTTGATTTTAGCCATTCTGACTGGTATGAGGTGATATCTCACCATGGTTTTAATTTGCACTTCCCTGATGATTAGTGATGTGATCATCTTTTCATGTGTCTATTGGCCATCTGTATGTCTTCTTTGGAGAAATGTGTTCATGTCTTCTGTCCATTTTTTAATTGGATTTTTTCTTTTGGTCTTGAGTTATAAAAGTTCTTTATATATTTTCTACCCCTTTATTGGATATGTTATTTGCAAATATCTTCTCCCATTCAGTAGGTTATCTTTTAGTTCTGTTGATTGTTTCCTTTGCTGTGCAGAAGCTTTTAATTTTGATGTAGTCCCAATAGTTCATTTTGCTTTTGTTTCCCTTGCCTCAGGAGACATATCTAGAAAAATGTTGCTATGACCAATGTCAGAGAAATTATTGCCTGTGCTCTCTTCTAGAATTTTTATGGTTTCAGGTCTCACATGTAAGTCCCTAATCCATTTTGAGTGTATTTTTATGTATGGTGTAAGAAAATGGTTCAGTTTCATTCTTTTGTATGTAGCTGTCCAGTTTTCCCAACACGATTTACTAAAGAGACTTTTTCCCATTGCATATTCTTGCCTCCTTTGTGGAAAATTAGCCATTATAATTGTGGTTTTATTTCTGGGCTTTCTATTGTGTTCTATTGATCTATGTGTCTGTTTTTTGTGCTGGTACCATACTGTTTTGATTACTACAGCTTTGTAGCATATCTTGAAATCTGGGATTGTGATACCTCCAGTTTTGTTCTTCTTTTTCAAGACTGCCTTGGTCATTCACGGTCTTTTGTGGTTCCATACAAATGTTAGGATTATTTGTTCTAGTTTTGTGAAAAATACTGTTGGTATTTTGATAGGGACTGCATTAAATCTGTAGATTGCTTTGTGTAGTATGGACACTTTAACAATTTTGTTCTCCCAATCTATGAACATGGGATGTCTTTCCATTTGTGTCATCTTCAATTTCCTTCATTAATGTTTTATAGTGTTCAGAGTAGAGATCTTTCACCTCCTTGGTTAAGTTTATTCCTAGGTATTTAATTCTTTTTGGTGTAATTGTAAATGGGATTGTTTTCTTAATTTCTCATTCTGTTACTTCATTATTAATGTATAAAAATTCAAAAGATTTCTGCATACTGAGTTTGTATCCTGCAACCCTTCTGAATTCATTTATTAATTCTAATAGTTTTTTGGTCATGTCTTTAGGGTTTTTCTCTATACATTATCATGTCATCTGCAAATAAAGTTTTACTTCTCCTTACTAATTTGGATGCCTTTTATTTCTTCTTCTCTTCTGAGTGCTGTGGCTAGAATTTCCAGTACTATGTTGAATAAAAGTGGTGAGAGTGGACATCTTTGTTTTAATTCCTGATCTTAGGGGAAAGCTCTGTTTTTCATCACTGAGTATAATATCAGCTGTGGGTTTTTCATATATGGCTTTTAGTATGTTGAGGTAAATTCCCTCTAAACCTACTTTGTTGAGGG